GAGTTGCTTTTGTTACTTTGTCTCCTCACCTGAAAAGTCCCATTAGCAGTAACTGCAGGGATAGAAAGAACAAAAACATGGGCCTCAGTCCTTTGATGACTGGAATTTAGAGAAATCAACAGATTCTTCCAGAGATGTTCACATAGACAAAACCCATGATATTTCTTAGTCATCTCCAGAAAACTCTCATTTATTCTTACTTCAGGAATTTCCGCAGGTGATCATTAGGTTTGGCCCGCTGGTATTGTCTTTTGCCAGTCTATTAAGAGTCTGTTTCAGGGTTTCCCCGGCAACTCAGGGTTTAAGTCTCAGCACTATCAAATGATCACCAGCCACTGTGACATGAGTTCAATCCCCGGCCAGGGAGCTAATCCACATGGCACAGCAGACCTCTCCTGTCTTGCCTGCTGCTCCCCTCAACAGTTTATTTCAGTAGATGGGCCTGTTCTGCTCCCTACTCTGTCTCTGGTGAATCCTCTGAGTCCCTGCACTTCTGGCCTATATCCCAGTTCTTGAATGCATAAATAAATAAAATCAAATTTTAAAAAAGTCTGCTTCTTTATTCACAACATAATCCCCACATAGAAGGGATTGTGGTGGGCAGAGGAGGCCAACACACATGCATTCAAGTTCCTAAGGCTGTTGTTCATGAGCCATTCTCTCATGAGAATGTATTATGTGCTTATGTTTTCATGAAGTATTTCTGTTAGTATCTCTAAATAAACATATAAAAATATACCTGGTTGACTAAATGTTATCTGTTATGTTATTGTTAAGAGTTAGAATTGGGACCGAATCTTAAACATCATTCCATTAGTTGCCTACATTATCTTAATTCCTTAATAATTATACAATTAAAATTTTCTAAAAACTAAAAGTATATATCTTATGAAAACACAGAAATAAGGAAATTTCTTTGCAGGTAGTGGTCCACATTTACAAGGCATTCTGGACATAGAATGGTTCACTTAATAATTTACATATTAACAGAACTACATACTACTTTTGAAGACTTTTATAACATGATTTTCTGTGCAAGTAGTTTATCAGTCAAATGATCTGTTCTTCAAATTAAACATGGCAGTTTACATTGAACACTTGAAAAAAATTTCTCTATGGCAACATCAATAGATATATTCACAAGACAATGTAATGTTAAATCCAATACTACTAGACTGTTTCTATTTAACTCACCATATTTCTAAAGTCAACACAATCCAGATTATCTCTTAAATGTGTTTTGTATTCAGTAAGCACCTTTACAAACACCTTTTAAAATATACTTTTGGAAGAAGGTAAATCCCCTATCAATTAACTAGAAATTCTATATGCCATAAAGATCAATGGCTTAGCTACCCTTGAACCAACATAGAATATAACAGCTGAAATTTTATGTTCCCTTTCCACGATTACCCACTGCATTTGCAAGCAATGTCAAGTGTCTAATTCTCTAAACACATTTCAATAGCTAAGGTGAATTAGCTTTCCTATTTTCTTTGGCTCAAATTAATATCTAAGAGAGTTCTTCAAAATACAATATGATTAGTCATCTTTAATCAAGTGAATACACTGACTAATAAGAATCTGCCTAGTGATCACTCTCTGGAGAAGTACATTAATCTATGTACTTCTTCACTTGTGTCTTCCACCCAGAGAGAGGTCACTCATACTGTCTTCACGGTGCCATTTTAAGTGCATCTGAAGCTGGGTAAATAGCCCTCCTGCCTGCAAGAAATGATAATTCAGGTCCTTGGATAATTTAGAAGTTTGCAAACCCAAAATGAGTATGTGAGGACCTTTTAAAATTAAGGAAAAATAAGCAGGTTATCAAAACATTAGCTTTGTTTCTAAATATTCCTTTTCAAAAACAACAGAATGAAAATATTTAAAAGTGCATTTTTATTATATTTAAACATTATTTTAAACAATATTCATAACATAATCTAAATGTACAAAGACCTTTAGGTAGGAAATCATGTAATATGTCAGAGTTAAATTACAGATTTTTTTAAAAAGGGGAATAAGATCATTTTTTTACAGATCATTTTTCATAATCATGTTATAAATAAGATGCATCTACATTTAAAATTTGTAAGATTCAAATAAGCTTGAATTAATGATGAGAAGTAAACATAAATCTTGAACTACTTACTCAGAAATGTATTAAAACCACAATATCCTTGTGATAATATGTATTAAAAGACAATAGTGTCACATCTCCAGTCATAGTCACAGCCTACCTGCAAGGAAGTTTGCATTGACTCTGCAATATATTTAACAGCCCTTATTCCTTATACTTTTTAAAGAGTAAATCCACAGAACCTAGGGAAAATGAAAGTCATATAGTCCCAAATTCTCACTGTATTATGATGCTTTTTATTTGCCATCAGATGTGGTTTTTGCAACTTTGAAGTTGGTGCAGAGTGAAAGAATATAAGTATTTTCATGGTGCTTGTCGCCTGACTTTAGCAAATTTATTGCTCCTACTCTGTAACATTACCAAGAATGGATAATTTTATGTGGATTTTATTTATTTATTTATTTATTTATTTATTTATTTATTTGTTTATGCAAGAACCAGGGTACAGGCCAGATGCACGGGAAGATGAGAGGATTCACCAGAGACAGAGCGGGGAACAGAACAGACTGACGAAATACAATGCTGAGGGGAGCAACAGGCACGACAGGAGAGGTCTGCCCCCCTATGTGGGACCCTCGCCGGCTGGCCGCGATCGAACCAGTGCTGCAGAGGCTGCAGACAGCTTCACAGTGCTGTGCTCAACTGCCTGCCCCACCATGGGAGGCCCTGTGGATTAAATGTAGAGATTAAATGTAGACTACCATGCTCTATCAGGTGTTATTTCCCCCATTTTCACTAAGGAGAAACATAGTACTTAATTAGGAAAAATAAGTTTGTTAGGATGACTCAAGTAAATGAATGGCACAGGCAAATCAGCTTTGAAGTTTGTGTGCTCACAAATTTTACATGTGAAATTGATAACAAATGAGTGTGTTTAATATGCCTGGTTAGATGTGATTCTAGTGGGATAGACTATTTGAACAGTGTATCTAATAGTTTTTTATTTCACATGAACAAATGAGTCATCTTTGTGTTCTAGAATTTGAATGGGAAGTCAATTATATATTCCCTACATTGATGGAATTACATTCTAAGACCAGATTAGGGATCCAATAGACAACCTGCAAGTACAGGAAAAAAAAAAAAAGATACAGCATTAAGAATTGTCCCATTTTGAGACCTCCCTAGTGGCACAAGGGATTAAGACTCAACCTATGGAGCTATTGGCAGCCTCTGTAGCACAAGCGCGATCCCAGGCCAGGGAGCTATCCACATAGCACAGCAGACCTCTCCAGACTCACCCACTGCTCCCCTCAGCAGTATATTTCAGTCAATCTGCCTGTTCTGCTCCCTACTCTGTCTCTGGTGAATCCTCTCTCTCTCACACACACACACACACACACACCGCCCCCCACCCCCACAAACACCTCTGGCATATACCTCAGTTCTTGTATGCATAAATAAATAAATCTTTCTAAAAAAAATTTGTCCTATTTTGATGATTAAGGATCAGAATTTTCAAAAGCTAAGTTAGAAAGAAAATCAGACAGCAAGGAACTGAATAAAGAGGAATTAAATGCAATAAAGAAGGAAAAGGATTTCCAAGAAAAAGGACACCACTTGAGATCATGTTTTCTCTAGCTGAAGCTGGGGAAGAGTGTGGAGGGATTGTGTTGGATAATGGAGAGGCAAGAGGAAAATATAGTAACATTTGTTATTTGTAGAAAATATTCTAGGTAGCAAATGTGATGGAAATACCAGTGAGGAGAGACTTGGGATAGATATCTGAAGAGAAATTATTCCAATTGTAAAGATAGAGATGATGAAAATCTGAACTACAAATGTAGCAAAGAAGAGAAATTGAATTCTACACAGTATTTTATTATTGTCTTTTCCTAAATAACCTCTCAGATTTGTAATTAAGGAGATATGGTTCTTGCCTTCCAGTTCATTCTTGAACAATGATGCAAATACTGATACAATAGCAGTTTTGATCTTAGTCACACAATGATCTGAGAGACTTAGAAATTAACTTTTGTGGATAGTACAATAAAAAATTTAGAAAACAAGATGAGGAAAGATGTATGAAAGAAAGTGACATAAAAGAGATTAACTGCATGCATGTCTCATCCCAGACTCAAAACACATGTATATGTGTATAATTTCTCAATATGCAAACCTAATATAGTCCCAAATAAATGGAAGGACCATTGATGGTTTCTGGATGCTGATAAACATATCCTAATGTGTAGAATAGTTTTACAGATTATGTATATGAAAAAATTATACTTATGCACTTTTCCATATTGATATATATTACATACCAATGGCATTAATCTTTGAAGTCTTAACCAATGGTTAAGTCTTGATTGACTTAACAAAACAACACAGACTGTATGGTTTAACCAACACAAGTTTTCCTTACAGTTGTGGAGAAGTCTAAAATCAAGTTGTCAGCAGATTTTGTTTATCATAGGTCCTCTTGTTTTTTTTTAAGATTTATTTATTTATGCATACAAGAACTGGGATCTAGGCCAGCAGTGTTGCAGGGGGGTGAGAAGATTCACCAGAGACATAGTGGGGAGCAGAACAAGCATATCTACTGAAATACACTGCTGAGGGGAGCAGCGGGTGAGACAGGAGAGGCCTGCTGCACCATGCAGGTCAGTTCCCTGGCCAGGGATTGAACTCGTGCTGCAGTGACTGCTAATAGCTTCATAATGCTGAGACTTAATTAACCTCTTGTGTCAGCAGTGAGGTCCCCCAAGACTCTTTTGATGGTTTGTAGACATTTTCTCACTGTGTCCCTAAATAACCTTTCTTGATGCAGACATCCTTGTTGTCTCTTTATTATTTTATAAAAGACTCTGGTTCTACTGGAGGAGGGCCCCACCGTTGTGACCTCATGTACCATAATTACCTCCTTGAAGGCACAACTCCAGATATGGTCATGTCAGGGGCTAAGGCTATAACATATAAAGGGGGTTGCCACAGTTCAGTCTGTAAACAATAAAAAAAGATAGTAATAATGTCAGAATAAAAGAAAATAATGTCACAAAATAAAAACTATTACGCAATAATGTCAGCATCTGTAATCTGAAAAGTATCCCATATAAATCACCTTCCCTCACTCCTTTCATTATCTATTCTTGTATTTTCTTTAAACAACTTGATACAATAAACTTGAACACTCTTCTCCCCTCCTCACATCTACATCTACATCAATGATATTGTGCATCTGCCATTAACCAAGAGATGCACTCATCGATGTTTTTTGATGAAAAGAGTTGGTAACATTTGTCCCAAAATTTAGCATATAATTTTCATTGGTGCTTTTTGAGGGGAAGATGTTTCCTTTAGACTGATCTTTATAAAATAAAACTACATTGGGAAATGTATCACATCTCATATTTTCAAACGTCATTCAACTGTAAATCAAATTTATAATCTAAATTAGTGATGTAGGAACTGTTAATTAGGAAGTACTTGCTATGACATTAGTAGTAATTTAAGTGGCATAAACTTTATTAAGGCAAAATTTTAAGTGTCAAGTTTCAAAACTATTAGAGATTAAAATTGCCTTAAACTATTAAATGTTATAAAACTACATTATACATAGAAACATTTACACTGAAACTTAATTTACCAATATTCTATTTATCCATTTCTGTTGTTGAATGATACACAGGAGGCAGAGTCTGATCTGGGATTATACTGCTTGTTCTTAGAACTTGGCAAGCAATTTTACAAATTTTAGTTACCCGAGATAACAACTTTGAAGTTGGATGAACTGTAATCCTCGAATAAAATCAATGTAACACCCAAGATTTTCAATACAAATCATACACAATACATTTCAAAAGTAAAGGACTGAAATACACAGTAACTAATCCATAGCCTCAGGGGTATATGAACAGCTGGCTTATTTTTCACTACTTATAAGCCTTTGAATTTCACTGTACTATTTTCTGCATTTCAGCTTCAACATGTGGTGTTTGTAACATCCTTAGTAATAAAACCTAGATAGTTGTCATAAATATATGCCTCTAGTTATGACATATAAATCATAATCATATAAATAAACACAGCTATTCAAAAATAGAGAATGATTTGCAAATGATATTGTGTACTGAAAATAATATTTGAAATAGCTCTGTCAATTTTGTAGTCCAAGAATATTCTATGTCTACTTTTCTAAGTGGTCAAAATTAGAATGAAATTTTGGGCCTAACATAACATATGAAAGTATATTAGATTTCCATTAACACATGCATAAAATGGAAGAAATCCATTTGCTATTTTGATATATCACTTTAATTTTCTAATTTATAGCAAATAGATCAATTTATAGATTTTTCATAAGTCTTTGCATAGCCATTTTTATGGATATACATGAAGTCATAAGTTATGCTTACACCAACTAATCTAATACAGGGAGATGCTAGTACTATATAGAATTGAACATAATCCTTCAGAAGTCTGAAGTAAATACTTAATATATTTATTTTCTTATTAATTAAAAATTGTTGCAGAAGATGCTTTACAGAAAATCCTAATTCCTTCCATGATTCACTTCATCAACCTATGTAAATAGTGATTCAATACAGTGTTAAAGGGCACTTTCTATATAAGTGGAATACCACAGCTTTTGTTGTATAGAACTGTCTGCCCACTATGGCCTATGGGTCCAATCTGACCTGCCTCCTGTTATTGTAAATAAGGTTTCCTTAGACCCCTGACTCATGCTTTCATTTATATTTATTTTCTACATGTATTTTCTCTCAACAATACCAGAGATGTGCTCTTGCAACAAAGACAGTATGACCAGCAAAATAAAAATGTTTCAGCTGGCTCTTTATGAGCAGGATTGGATGGGGTGAGAGAAATCACTTTTCCTATAGATTAAGAAAAGTGAGGAAAATAAAAAGCAGAAAATAAACTCACGTTTTAATCACCTGATGCCTCAGTTTCCCATATTTAAATGTTAACTAAATTTGAATTCTTTTAGAGGATATCAGAATGACACCAAAATGATTTTTATTGGAATAAATTGCTTTCTTTAAATGTGTAGAGATGAGATGAATTTTTCTGGAAATGTATACATAAATTTAAATATATTTTCTAAACAGCACATACATAGAATTCCCCACTATTTCACTATGGTGCTATGGAGTCAATTTGATTTCCCAACTGAATGAATCTGCTCACACCTTTTTACTCATGAAATGAAGAAGTGAATGGATTGTAATTTATGGTTACACTGTGTAGTGGTCACCAGGGGAAGGAATATAGTTATATATTGAAGTATATATATTTTTTATTTCCTTAAAACCCCATTCTCATCACCCTCAATGAATACTAAATTTATCCCATGTTGCTGTTTCTTGAGCTAAATGAATAGACTAGAAAATTTTTCTTCATTAATTGTTCCATGAATGTCAAACAAACTTCCTTTATTAAAATCAGAAACAGAGATCAACCTTGAAAATTCCCTGAGCAGACAATATCAGTTTAATCATCCAAACAAAACTGAATTTAGCTTAAGTTAGCAAAACTAAATCGACCTGGGCCAATTCTTGCTGATGTTTCTGAAAATCACAAGTGAAGCTTCAACTGATCTCCAAAGTTGACTTGAGGTAACCACTAACCAATTCCCTCTCATTTATGAAAATGCTAATATTATAACAATCTCTGTTAAGAATAAATGTAAAAATATACATTTATAGAAGTTAGAACCTATAGCCCCCAGAGAGATATAAAGACATAAACCTACTTTCTCTCAATGAAATTAATTTGGAAAAAAGTAAGCTAAAAGCATTAAAAAGACAGTCACTGCCTTCTCACCATGTAAGGTTTTTCTGTTGTTGTTTTTTGTTACTTTCTTTTAAATAATATACCCTTGAGCCTCATTATATTTGGTTTGATTGCTCCTAGTTTATGAATTTTCTCTTTGGTGTGTTCACAACAAACTTTTACTAATTACTACTTTGGTGACTCAGTGGTTTTATTTCTGTATTTCTAAACATTTGACACGTTATAACAAAATTGGAAAGTTGGTTTTTAGGTTAAATGATGAACTGCAATATTAAGAACAGGCATAAACATATGCCTATGTAAATCAATGATTACTGTTTAGAAAAGGTTTGTAAATTATAAATTTGTAATTAAATAATCTGGAGTAATGAAATTATTAAAGTGAGTATGTATTTATTCCCATGAAACCATAAATGGGATAACTATCTTTTCTGAAAGAACTTCTTAGAATTACGTCACAAACCCCAGTTCCTTCACCATCTAGTAGATGATTACTTAATGTATTTGAATTTTAGATTATTATTTTAAACTATGAATTTTTTATCCTGACCAGGAAAAAGTAAAGAAATGTACAGATAGCACTCCGAAACTTGTATTGCTTTATTTAGACATAAAATCTATTCTGGAATTATGAATATATCCTTTTGATCATCAAGCAAAATTATCTGAATAACTCATACATTTCTTTCACATTTAAAGCACTCTAACCCTAAAATAATCATAGTCCCTCACAGAATAACAACATGATGGAGAGGTCAAATTTATTGTGAGTCTGTTGTTCTATGCCTGCTACTTCAAACTCTCTATAATATAAAATGACACTAAATAATGTCAATATATTTTGATCACTGGAAGAATAAAAGGCTTCTGAAAGGATGCAACACTGACTTCTAACTTAATTTCCCATCCCAAAGAGAAAAACTGAAAACTGGTCATAATAGCTTGCTTCTTGAAAATCAACAGAAGAGTTTTTCTCTGCAGTCTACTATGATGTACTCTTTTACAGGCATCTTTCTCAGCAAAGTGACTTCCTATCACCTCTGCTATGTTATGTTCATTGTGAGCAAGTCACAGTTTCCATCCTCACTCAAGTTGAAAGCATTACACAAACTAGTGAATCATTGGGGATTTTATACCTTAAGAAGTCCTGGTCTACTGAATGAGCTGTTTATCATTCTTCAACTTTGGCAAAAAAAAAAAAAAAATTAAATATGAGAAGTGAATCTATGGTTGTCTCATACAGCATTTCATAGTTTTAAAAACATTTAAATTTTTCAATTCAGGCATAGAGTTTTAGTTTTCTTATTTCATCCAGTGGGCCTAATCATGCATTTTTCCTTCTTCCTTACTTTGTTTTTAGATGACATATTAAAAGAAACTGTGTTTAGGGCCTCCCTGGTGGCACAAGGGGTTAAGCATAGCACTGTGAAGCTATACACTGCTGAGGGGGACAGCAGACCTCTCCTGTCTTGCCCGCTGCTCCCCTCAGCAGTGTATTTCAGTCAGTCTGCCTGTTCTGTTCCCCACTCTGGCTCTGGTGAATCCTCTCACCATCCCCCATCCTCTCACCACCGCACCTCTGGCCTGTACCCCAGGTCTTGTATGCATAAATAAATAAATCTACAAAAAAAGAAACTGTGTTTACACCACATATATACAAACACAGGCACACATACATACTTTTGTGCTTGTTATATGTGTGTCTATAAATTATATACATGCCATATTCCACATTGTTTTTGGAAGAACTGAAATTAATTTATGCATATGTATATCAGTAAAAAATAATTCACACTTTCATTTTCAGTTCAAGTTCTTCTATGTGCTAGATAGACTGTCATCATTTTGTATCTCTCAGGATTGTTACACAGAAGCTATTTAAGTCTTTCTTACTAAACTACAAAGGAAAAAAATGAGTGAAATAGTTCCTTAAGAGTACAAAGTGATGGCGTGCAGACCTCTCCTGCCGCCTGCTGCTCCCCTCAGCAGTGTACTTCTGTCCTTCTGCCTGCTCTACTCCCCGCTCTGGCTCTGGTGAATTCTGTCACCCTCCCATGCTTCTGACTGTACCCAGTGCTCGTATAAATAAATAAATAAATCTTAAAAAAAAAAAGTGCAAAGTGATAAAATCCTTTTTGTTTGGGTATATGCTACTCTTCACTGATTAGAATTTCATTTAAATAATTTTAAGTAAAAGAAAACTAAGGTTTACTCATAATTTGTTTTATGTTTTCACGTGTTTGCTTTTTAATATGTGATGAGATCATTTTTCAAACTGTAGTGTGCTTCTTAGACATGCTTTATTAAACCTGCTGAATCAGAAATATGATGACTTTGGGTGGAGAAACTGGTTCTGTAACAATCCCCAAGTGATTAATAAAAACAATATTTGAACTACATTTTCATAAAAAAATATTTGAACTACATTTACATTTATACATTTGAACTACTAAATGCATATGTTCTGCACAAAATATATAATATATACATATATATAAAATGGTATTTTATTAGTACCCTCACTTTACTTAAAAAAAAAAATTACATTGATTACTTGGTCTGAAACAAGGGAAAAGACATAATTATTGACTCCGCTGTCAATAGATTCAATGAAATATGACTTTATAGTGTATAACTGTCCAAAACTAGGCCTTAATTTTTCATAATAACAATAAGAATTAAATTAAATTATTAAATAAGAATTAAATTAAATTGTTAACAATAAGAATTGAATTAAATTATTAATTAAATTATTGCTATTTACAGTTTGGCTATATAAAAATTAGTCTTTATTGGAAGCAGTATGCTTTGATTTTCTTAATCTTTGTAGGTAAAATTTAATAGACATAGAGAATGTTTAATTATCACATATATAATGCATTTATATAAGCTACATAAACACATGAAGGGTGAGGATTAGAGTTTTTTTCCATGAATGAATAATCCACATTTCTTTTTTTAAAAAAATTAATTTATTTATGCATACAAGAACAGGGGTAGAGGCCAGAGAATGGGTGGTGGGGAGGTGGTGAGAGGAGTCACCAGAGACAGAGTAGGGAGCAAAATAGGTGGATCTACTGAAATACACTGCTGAAGGGATCAGCGGGCAAGACAGGAGAGGTCTGCTGTGCCATGTGGGTTAGCTCCCTGGCTAGGGATCTAATTTGTGCTGCAGTGACTGCAGATAGCTTTGTAGCTCTGCAAGTTAACCCCTTGCACCACCAAGGAAGCCCAACAATCCACATTTCTTAATTTCAGGGAAACATTTTATAATCTTTTAGAGCATATGTTCTCTATTATACTTACTCTAGCACATTACATATGTTTGAAATAAGATATTAAGAAATGAAAAACTCTCAAAGTTAAACACTGTAAAAGATTGGCCTATAATAATAGGGAATATTAATTGAAGGAAAGATATAATTTACTGAAGAGTTCTGTTTTCTATTTAATAAAGTTGATTTTGGAAATAAAATATACTATTCTACAAGATACATTCTTATTTTTCTTAGTCAATAAGTTATGTGGGGAATATATAAAAAGTACCAATATTACCCTAACTCTGATGTTTAACTAGGTTCATAAATAAAAAACTGTAAGGAAGCAATACATATATTTCAGAATGTTTATTTAATATTTCATAAAGACTGTTAATGTGGTTTAGTCCATTGTTTTATTTTCTCAAAATATGTTAATATTGTAGAGAAGTATATAAAAATATTTATGGTATATGTCAATTGTTGAATAATTTGGTCTTTATTGATGAAATAGCAATTTTCTTTGTAATTTATATTTGCATGTTTAGCAAAGTTTCATCTTAGTAGAAGGCCTAGAATTAGATTTTTGAGTTTATTGTAATATAAAACTTCATGCTTTGCAAAGAAAGTTTTAGAAAATACTGCAAAGACATTTTCATAAGTATCTTCTGTTTCCTGATAGACCCTGTCTATATGTAATGTTTTTTCTGTAAAGACTAGAGAATTAGTTTCAGTAATAATCTTGCTTTTGTGTTACAAAATGCCTGAAAGTGGGGATTTTTAGCCAAAGGCAAGAAAACCTATGGCTTTATTGTTAAGAATTTGAAATGCTCCTTATTCACTGAATAATAGACACTGGCTTAAATTCTTGAGTGCTCCTCTTGTCACTCTTAGTGCCCTATACTCGCTTAGATGATCACCCAGTTTTCCCCATCATCAAAAAGGATTAGCATTTGTCCTATCAGGGAGTCCTGAAACTTACCAATACTTCAGAATTGATTCATTCTAAGTGGCAAAGGTCAAAGTAGACAGTCCCTCAAAGTCCAGCTTTTAGGTCACCACCATTGGTTACCTAAGGAGACATAAGAGAATCAATTTTATTTACAATTACTCTCCCCACAGGGTATGGCAAGCTGATAGTCCAAGACAACCAAGGAAAAACTAGCCATTGACATTTTCTACTTTCTTCAATTTCCTCAACCAGAGCATGGTCAGATGTTAGGGAAAATGGCATCTATTTAGGAAAATATCTAACAATATATATCTAACAATATATATCTAATATCTAACAATATATATCTAACAACAAAAATATCTAACAACTAATACTTACTACATGTTTGATTAAACATTTAATTTTCTTCTTTGGACTTTTTTATTAGATTATTTCCTTTTTTACAATAAAATATTTCTTTCATCTTTATTTCACCCCTTTTTATACTTCCTTTTTTCATGATTTATTTATTTTATTTATTTATACAAGAACTGGGGTACAGACCAGATGTGCGGTAAGGTGAGAGAATTCACTTGAGACAGAGTGGAGGACAGAACAGGCAGACTGACCGAAATACACTGCTGAGGGGAGCAGTGGGCAAGACAGGAGAGGTCTGCTGAGCTATATGGGCATCTCCCTGGCTGGCCAGGATCCAACCTGCGCTGCAGAGGCTGCAGACATCTTCACAGTGTGGCGTTCAACTGCTTGCACCACCAGGGAGGCCCTACATCCTTTTTTTTTTTTTAATTTTTTTTTTATGCATACAAGAACTGGGGTACAGGTCAGAGATGTAAGTGGGGGTGAGAGGATTTGCCAGAGACAGAGCAGGGAACAGAACAGGCAGACTGACAAAATACACTGCTGCGGAGAGCGATGGGTGAGACAGGAGAGGTCTGCTGTGCCATGTGGGTCACCTCCCTGGCTGGGGATCCAACTCGTGCTGCAGAAGATGCGAATTACGGGCCTCCCTATGGTGCAGTGGTTAAGCGCTGGGTAGGTAAGCTGCCTGCAGCCTCTGCATCACCGGTTCACTCCCTGACTGCCAGGTGAGGGTCCCACATGTCACGCAGACCTCTCCTGCCGCCCACTGCTCCCCTCAGCAGTGTACTTCATCAGTCTGCCTGCTCTGCTCTCCGCTCTGACTCTGGTGAATTCTCTCACATTTCCGCACTTCTGACTGTACCCCATGCTTGTATAAATAAATCTTTAAAAAAAAAAAAAAAGTTGCGAATTGCTCCATAATGCAGTGCTTAATCCTTTGTGCCACCAGGGAGGCCACCTTTTTATACTTCTTTACTTTGGAACTCACTTCAATTCATATTCTATAATTCACAGTATGAATATCTGTGTCTATCCTTGGTTAAGTTTCTCTAGGATAGGTGAGCTTTAAATATGATTTCACTAAAACATATTGCCCCTAGGTATTCAGCTTATGCTTCTGAAATGAAAGGATTAATAAGTGAACTAAACAATCAACTGATAAGTATAATTTTATTTTTTGCTGTATCATTTTTATTGAGACAATATTTGTTTATAGCACTGTATATGATTTATGGATATTGGTTCACACCTCTCACTTTTAAATATTCAAATTTGAAGAACGGAACTGAAATTGAAACTCAATTCTCTATTTTTTGTGATGCTCATTTTGACCAAAAAAAAACAAAAAACATGAATGTAGCTTTGAAGTGTATCATCCCTTTTCAGGTTAGATTTAGAGTAATTGAATGTAAGATGGTATTTCCCATTCTCTTTAGATTCTAGTTGATTTTTATTAGCTAATGTGACATTCATAAAACAGAACACAATATCAAGTGATAGAACAAGGAGAAAGCAGCAAATGTACCACAAAAGAAGAATCTTGTTAATTGAATTGTATTCCCATCCTCTTGAAAAAGTGACTTGAAACGGTGTTAAAGAGTGAGCTAAAAATGCAAGAGTACCTAAAACAATGTTCAAAGAGTGTTAACAACAGGGCGATGCGACAGTACTATGGCAGGGTCAAAGGACAGTGCTAAGGAGTGGGTCAGGTCACTGTCAGCAGGTTCTTTCTTACCCATGCACACAATTGCAAGACCACTCTGGCGCAGGGTCCAACAACAGGGTTCATTTAACAAACAGGAAGTTGGGGAGTAGAACAGGCTAATTGTGAAAGATGAGGTGACACGACTACAGTCCACAGCAACAGTATGAAGCTGGTCCAGATGCTGAACCAGACAATGATGGACTCTACTGCACCAAGAAGTGTTGCTGGAGAACCAGAGGCTGTAGCCAGCTGTTTGAGACACTGAGTCCAACAACATTCCTTGCAGATAATGTCAGTGTCAGGTGCAATTTTCAAGTCTCTGTGCAGGTCTGGAGTTCTGGTGTTCTGGAAGTCTGAGGTCATGTGCTCTATGATTCTTTTGCACCAGAGGTCATCTGCTGAATCCTTCTTCAAATGCTTCTCTTTTCAGAGGCTGGCTGCTGACTCTTTTCAAAAGTGGACCAATGAATCCTTCTGAATAATCTGAATATTAACTAACAAATTGAACTGGGGCCCAATTGGTCCATTTAGAATCCTAGAGCCAAATATAAAAAAGGGGAAAAACCCAACCTGGCCTAAACTAAGGTCAGGGCAGTTTTATAGCCCTATTGGCTCTAGGGAATCAGAACTTGACTGGCTATAACAGGGGGCAGAGGATTATTTACAGGTGGTGCAGTGAAACAGACATGCATACCGGCCTAACTGCCTCTGAGCACTGTGGGATTTAGTTTCATGCTTATTGTGTAATTTAATTATGAAGTTTGATTATTAGTTTGAAAAGTTTAGGTGATATACCAGAAAAAAAATGAATAAAATTCATAATCCCATAGGTGTTTGTTATTTCCAGCAATGATCTGTTTTATTATGCTTTAAGTAGATTCCCTGAGATGAAACTATAGGACTCACAAATACATAATTGATTCTATTACATTTAGTCAGTCTACAGATATTTGTTTATATTTTAACTTTAATTTTTCTCTCTGACTTATTATTTCTTCCCTATCATCTCTCTATAGTTAATGATCTCTAGCTCCATACACAATACAAAATAAAAATAAGATGGGGTTTCTTCTATGGTTGAAATAGCCCCATATGTGATCCTTAGAAAATAAAACATTTATTAAACAAACATGGGATAAATGCCTTAATAAGATTTTAGTGACTAATGGAAGTGTAGGAGTTCATCTAGTACTTCTGTGAGCATTAGAATTCCTTCTCTGCCTTATTGTTTTGTGACATTGAGCTGCCTCTTGATCATGTCCAACTGTGTTTCAAACTGTCTGATTTCTGACTCATGTTCCAGTTGCTTGGCCCTGACACTTTGGTTCAGTGCTCATTTTGACCATAACTGTACTAAATCTTTTTTTTCCCAAATCAGTATCATAAAGAAGTGACATAGAGTTAAAAAAAAAGAAAATAAATCTCCCTAGGGTCAGCTGCCCATGGTTGGGCAGTCATCAAATACTCTGAGGATATTAGCGAAGAGAGTGAGATAAGTTTTAAGTGAATGGTAAGAAGAAAAATGTTATACAAAAAGAGGCAATTAAAGAATAAACACGATTTAGAGGATCCAAAGCAATATTGATGTCAATTCCGTGGAGTAGGAAATATACCTACTTTATACTATGTGTGTACCCAGTGTGTACCACAAAGACTGTTAAAGCAAGAAAACATCAAATATTTGATAATTAAAGGAGAGAGAAAGTAAACTTTCTCTGGAGTCCTTTTGGGGTTATTATCACTCTTATTTAAATAACCTGAGAAATTGTGGGGCATTAACTCCCTGTCTTCTTTTAGAAATTAATAATACTTTCTTGAATTCAATCATTGACTGCACAAGGCAAAATGCTATTTGGTGTTTTATATCCAAAAGGCCTCTGATAATGTAGCTATTTATCATGTATAATATACCAGATTATAAATAAGGGGAAATAAAAAATAATTAATTAAAATATTTACTATTAACATAAAATGAATTTAGTTCTTAGTGTTTTAAGCTGTAAACTTCATTTTTAAATTTTAATACTAAAATAAATAAAATGAAGAGGACACAATACTTTCTCTCCAACCATTTTGAAAATCTAGTCATAATTGAAACAATATGCATTTAATATTGCCATAGTGTTTCAGAATTAATTTAGATAAACTATTAATCAAAAACTGTGTTTCATTAATCTATGTTTTCTTTATTGTTAATTAAACCCCTATCAAACACTAATTGCAATTGCTCTAGAGAGTCCTCAATAATATTTATGCTAGTGTTCTAATAGAGAAAATGTGTATGAGTGGTAAAATTCTTTAAAATATTTATGTGAGTACTGTATATTCATTCAGCTAAGATACCTTTTGTAAACTCTCCTAAGTTTCAGTCTCTTCTTGAGATAGCAAGGTAATTTATGAACTTTGTAACTACTAATGAAAACACAATTATTTTTGAACTAAAATGAAAATATTCATATCATTCTTTTTTTGAAAAACATTGCTCATTTTATTAATTATACAGAATAATGTGCTATTTAAATTTGTTTTATAGCAATAGAATACACAACTATATATATATTTTTTATTCTTTGCAAACTATAAAATTATTTCAGCTTATTTCCCACAAATTTGAAGTAGTGTATATCCTTGAATTATTATGTGGGCAATATTATGTGGGCATGATATTCTGATCCCTTTATTCTGTTTCCACAGAAAGTATAATGTGGTCAGAAAGTTATGGGTGAGTTATGGGTGAAACATGGAAATTCTCTAGCCATTCTCTAGGAAATTCTCTATGCTGCTATTTCTATCAACTCTTTCAGAACTCCTGTTTACATAAGCTAAAAAGACCTTTGAGATGTTATTGGACATTGATGCTAAAATAGTTCTATTTCCTAGAGATTTCATAATGTATTTGCTGTCCGTGGGTCAGACTGTGCTTAATGGAATCACATGATAAATGTTTTGATAAGTCCAGCTTATGCTAGGTTAAATCATATCTATCACTCATACTATGTTTATTTCTCCTTATCCTGGGTATATTATTATACTAAATAATTTTCCCAACTGA